TACTTGTTGAAGAAACTGGCTTTCTTACTTATCTTTCCAGCATTTCCTCAGTATTGCTGGGCTGAGCTTGCCTTGCTTAATTCACAAGTAACCCCCAAGGTAGTCACATGGATATCTTCTAGGCTTTCAGCCTGCTAGAAGCTGCCCATCCATGACACTTAAATAACTTCTGTGCTTCGTATAAATAAGATAACATTATAAATAAAACAGATTGATATAATCAGCATAGAGTTAAAGAAGGAATTTTGCTTTAAAATAATTGTTTTTACATATGCTGACCTCACTAAGAAGCTTTCATGCTCATTTTCATGGTAATTTATCCATAGGGCAGCATGGGTTTGGGCCATCTTCCTAATAATGCCTCAGCCCAAAGGAAAAACTTGCGTAATCATTATTCACAAGATACACACCCTGCACCTGTAAATACAATTGTCTGTGTATATGTAGCTTTCTCATGTGCTAGGAAACCATGCTTAGGATGAGGCATCTTTTCTACAGTTAAAACCACCCGATTTTCAGTGTCTTATGCTTAAAGATGATTTCTAAGATTTATAAAGTTGAGAACTCAGATGGTTTCCTTTCCAAACATTTATATTTTCTTCACCCTAATATCAGGAAGTTCATTTCAGATTATATTCCTGTTTGAATTGTTGTATTTCCTCCAAGTCAGAATAGAAACAAGTTGAGATGTATGATAAGTTTCAATATATTGTACAAATGGTACTGTTGCTGCTTGTTTTGATAACATTGCCTAAGTAATTCATTCACAATACACTGCCTAAACTCTCAGATAAAGGGAGTGGAGTGCTGAGTGGGTTTCTGAGAACAAATATGGGAATTTTACACATTTTTTTCTTTTGAACTACTTGAAATACTTTTTGAGAGTTTGCATACTACAGGAGTATAAGCTTTAGATTTATGTAAATGATATAGATTTGCACAGAAGAAATTAGTTTCTAGAATCGTGTTGATAGTAGTTTTACTTTATTTTGGTTTTTCATGTCCCTTAATGTGATGATGGTTGGAACAATTGTGAAAAAAAATTTGTAAGAGAGAACCTTATAAAACCTTAATGGAGAACCCAAGGCAATTGCATTTAGTTTAAAAGACTTATAGTCAAGTCTGTATTTCACAGAGCCAAATTGGATGCTTAGATAAAACTCATCTTTTTTCAAAGAACATAAATTTAGTTTTGTAGATTTTTTTTTTTCTTTTAGTTATAAACAGTGTGACTCTATTAACAGCTTAGAACTCTTATGGTTAAATTTCTTATTTTCCAAAATAATCATTTCTGAGGTTCCTACATATCCTGATGAGTAAAGATCTAATATTTTCCTCTTTATCAATCCTTCCTCTTACGCATCATTGGGGGCAACTTTGGCCACAAACCATCAGAGCTTCCGTTGTATAAAGTGTTCAAGCAGGTGTAGAGAGAATTGCAAAATCACATGAGCTTATTAATATACTGCATTTTGTGGATTCCTCCTATACCAATCCACAGGTAACAGTCCTCCCACCTACCTGGATGCTCATTTTGGTCTACTCCTTGTACCCCTTAGCTCATTCCCGCGTGCTCAGCCTTTGTCAAGCTTTGGGAAATTGGGCACCAGAAGGCCTTCAGTTTTAGTCACAAGTCTCAGGCAAACATATCCTAGTGACTTAAATACTCAGGCTTGTAGGCCTTAAGCTTGAATGGGCATGAGGACCATCCGAGTAACTTGAAAATAAATGCATATTCCCTGGCCCCACACATAGAGATCTCATCCAGGAGCTTTGGAATGAATACAGAAATCTTCAACTTGAATAGCATTCCAGGAGTATCTGATGCCTCTGGAAATACACTGCCTACTAGAGCACTGGTCTCATTTCACTGATGCATGTTTGAATCACCAGGGAGCTTTTAAAAATTATATTAATGCCTGGGACCCTGGCCTCAACAAGTTAAATCCGAATTTTGGAGTTTAGCAAGGGCATGCGCATGTTCCCAGAGTTATCATATATTGCATATGATATATGCATATCCCTATATGCAATCAGAAAAAGAGACACAAATGTACAGAACAGACTTTTAGACTCTGTGGGAGAAGGTGAGGGTGGGATGTTCAGAGAGAACAGCATTAAAACAAGTATACTATCAAGGATGAAACAGATCACCAGCCCAGGTTGGATGCATGAGACAAGTGCTCAGGGCTTGTGCACTGGGAAGCCCCCGAGGGAAGGGATGAAGAGGGAGGCAGGAGGGGGGATCAGGATGGGGAACACATGTAAGAAAAAAAATTTTAAAAATAAAAAACAGGAAAAAAAAATTCATAGCTGCAATCACCATCTGCAGTGATTTTGGAGCCCAGAAAAATAAAGTCAGCCACTGTTTCCACTGTTTCCCCATCTATTTGCCATGAAGTGATGGGATGCCATGATCTTAGTTTTCTGAATGTTGAGCTTTAAGCCAATTTTTTCACTCTCCTCTTTCACTTTCATCAAGAGGCTCTTTAGTTCTTCTTCACTTTCTGCCATAAGGGTGGTGTCATCTGCATATCTGAGGTTATTGATATTTCTCCTGGCAATCTTGATTCCAGCTTGTGCTTCCTCCAGCCCAGTGTTTCTCATGATATACTCCGCATATAAGTTTAAAAAGCAGGGTGACAATATATACAGCCTTGATGTACTCCTTTTCTTATTTGGAACCAGTCTGTTGTTCCATGTTCAGTTCTAACTGTTGCTTCCCAGGGAGCTTTAAAAATTATATTAATGCCTGGGACCCTGCCCTCAACCAGTTAAATCAGAATGTTGGAGTTTAGCAAGGGCATGCACATGTTCCCAAAGCTATCCAGGTGATGATCATCTGCAGCTTGATGTGAGAGCCGCTACCTGGCACTGGTCTGATGACGACAGTCCACCAGACAACTCTTCTTCCAAGAGGTGAGAGTCTCTTGGAGCACTTAATATTTTTTCCTGTCACATCAACTTCCTAAAGTCTACCATTCTCCCCTCAACCAGGTTTTTATACCTTTAAAATTCATGGACCTCTGTTCATTTCATACAAATTGGCTCTTCTAGTGTTATGCATATTAAATGAAGAGAGATCTAGAACTAAGAAATAAGTGTTTTCACCTGCATTTGCCCAATTAATGCAACTTTTCCTAGAGCAGTACCAACAAGTTGTGTTCACTGTACACAGAGAAAGTCTTCCTTGGATAAAACTGTTAAATCTTTTTACACACCCCATCACACACTCCTGTACTATAGGGTGTTAAGTTTTAGCATTCAGATCCAGAGCGTCCTATCTAACCTGGGGCCCTGTGTGCCTTAATGATAATTTAGAATCAAAATGTCAGGCTCCTTCACCTTCTTTTCATGATGATAGAGTTCTGAGCAGAGCAGAGACCAGCTGCAGTGTCAGTCTAGACCATAAAGCTGAAAGGGCCATGTAAATCAGTCTGACTGGGCCATTTAAGCTGGTTCAATGAAGACTTAACTTTAGGACCAAGGTCTAAATGTTTCTTCTGCTTCCCCAAAAAAAAAAATGAATTATTTCTAAAACCAATAGGGGGGAAATGGCTGTGGGAGGAAAGAGGACTTAGATATCACTTGCTCTTTTTAAGACATTTTTACCTTTAAAGCAATTTTATGTCTATGTTCAATAGGTAATAAAACAATGACTTGGTTTTAAAAATTCAGTCGAACAATATCTTGAGAAAACTAAAATATGTAAACCAAAATTATTTGACCCTTTTTTGAGACTCCATATGCAGTTATTGGAAATGTCAACTATGGTGTGATAGATGAAGATTGCTAAAAGTTTTGTCTTAATTTTTTTAATTGGAGGATAATTGCTTTACACTGTTGTGTTGGTTTCTGCCATATGCCAGCATGAATCAGCCATAAGTATTCGTATGTTCCCTCCCTCTTGAACCTTCTTCCCCCCTTGCGCCCCATCCCACCCCTCTCGGTTGCCGCAGAGCACCAGGTTGAGCTACCTGTGTTATACAGCAACTTCCCACTAACTATCTGTTTTACATATGGTAATATATACATTTCAATGCTACTGTCTCAATTCGTCCCACCCTTGTCCTCATTTTAATCTCATGGTTGTTATTTGTGCATGCGAAGAACTTGTACACAGAGGGAAGTAGGGAGGGACTTTGACACTGCCCTCTCCCATTAATCATTAATCACTGCAAAGCCATCACAAGAAGCTTTCAATGTAATTTTAGAAAGGAACATGCTTCTTTTATGCAAATGGAGCTCTGTGACAAGTTTCATAAACATTCTCCCTCACCCAAACCTTCCAAAGAGTTGACTGCCACTAAGACCCTTCTATGGGCTTCCCAGCTGACACAGTGGTAAAGAATCTGCCTGCCAATGCAGGAGACGTAGATTGGATCCCTGGATCAGGAAGATCCCATGGAGTAGGAAACGGCAATACCTTCCAGTATTCTTGCCTGGTAATTTCCATGGGCAGCAGAACCTATTTTCTCTTTTAAATAATTCATTTCTAAATATAATCCACATATGACTTAATATCCTTGAAAGTGAGTATTAGTTGCTTAATTATGTCCGACTCTTTGCAGTCCCATGGACTGTAGCCCGCCAGGTTCCTCTGTCCTTGAAATTCTCCAGGCAAGAATTGTGGAATGGATGCCCTTCAGGAGATCTTCCTGACCCAGGGATTGAACCCAGGTCACCCACATTGCAGGCAGATTCTTTACCATCTGAACCACCAGGGAAGCCCCAAAATCCTTAATAACATCTAATAAAAACTGCTGTGTACGTGTGTTTGCTTCTGTTGTGTCTGACGGTTATCTGTTATTTTTAAAATGCTATAGGATCAATTTAATGACCACTGTGATTACTAGAAACACTCCTACCAGATTTCTGCTGCAAATAAAGAATCAAAAGAGGATTTCTCCGACTAAGTAAACAATGTTAGGTTAATTCCTGACTAAGGGTAATTACAGACATTCAAATTCATGATAAATAGCCCTTTGCTTTTCCTTTAGCCATTACTTGTCGAAAGCAAGATGGAGGGCAGGCTAGCATCCATGAATGCCTCCGGTATGCAGGCCCTGTGCCAGCGCTTACCCAAGCCTGCCAGATGCCTTGCCAAGATGACTGTCAGCTCACCAGCTGGTCCAGATTTTCTTCATGCAATGGAGACTGCGGTGCAGTTAGGACCAGAAAGCGCACTATCGTTGGTAAGAATAATTGGGATGCCAAAGCCAGCCCTTGCCAAGGCAGAAAAACATAATAAAACATCAGAACAAGATAGTTCTGACAATGTATTTGGAAAATGCATGGTTATGCCTTATTCTTGCTGTCCTAACACTTAATATGGCAGTGGATTCAGAGCTGGATTTTAACATAAGGTAGCCGTGACAGATGCATTGTGTACTTTTAGTAGAAAAGGTAGCCTTGGAAATTGAACTCTGTCTGCCTAAACAATCTGTGCTAGATTACTTTTTGGTTTAAACATGTACCTTTGTTGAATTACCAGTAGACTGTGAGGTGCTTAGAAAAAAAGTTTCTTAGGAACACAGGAAGAAGTTGAGACTTGACTTTCTTAAGTCGTCGTCCTTGTCACAACCTCAGATTATCCTTCATCATCTAGAAGAGAAATACGACATTAATGCTGTATCTGAAAGCTTTATTTTAAAAGATAGTCACAATGGTAAAAAGCATAACGAGCAGAAACAGGAGCCATCATGCTGAACTAAACTCTGATACATTCAAAAATACTGTCAGTGGCCAAAGAAACCTAAAAATATTCATGCTAGTAGAGTATTCAGAATTTGAAGTGGTAAGATGAACCAGCTGTCATAATGAAGACTATTGAAAACTGTATAAGGCAGCTTATGAAAGTTAAATATATATGTAAGACATATGTAACTAGTTATGTGCAATATAATTAATATATATGGCATAAATATATGTAATCTAATTAAAATAATGGTTTTATTCAGGCACATATCACTATTATACTCATTGTTTATCTTACAAGAGAATTTATTTAGATTTACACATAAACTATATCTAATATTTTTATTTGATATTAAACATTTTCATTTTTAATATCATTATTCCCTACATTAATCGCCAAGTTTGTCAAAATGATTGTTCTTCAGGACTATTGAAAGATGTGAAATCACAATCAGAAAAGTAAATGCGAAACTCTGATTTTCTGAACTATAACCCCTTATATAACTATACCATCTATTTGGACTTAACAAAAAGTTAGTTAACTATGTGGGCCTGTGCAGTGACTGTCTCTCTTCGTGACATATTTTTGTACAGATTATAAAGGAGCTATTTATGCAGTTACTTCAGACTCCCCAGTCAGTGAAAGAATGTGATCATTTGAGAGGATTTTAATCCTTTCGAGGAGTGTAAAATTCAGCACAACAGTTAGTGCCTTATTCAAAATGGGCTATTTTTAATTGAGAAGAAAAAAGAAAATTTTCACCGTGCAAAGCAACCAGTGCTAACAAAAACCTACATAAAAAGCACTGCGGAGGGAGAAACTAGCATTTATTTATAGGCTACAGTTGAATACAGTTAAAAATAAAGAAAGGAAGGTAGGAAAGAAAAAAAAAAAACTTAGGGATGCTTGGTATTAATAACAGTGTTTTCTAACTTAATTTTCTCCACAGGAAAAAGTAAGAAGAAGGAAAAATGTAAAAATTCTCATCTGTACCCCCTGATTGAGACTCAGTATTGCCCCTGTGACAAGTATAACGCACAGCCTGTGGGAAACTGGTCCGACTGCATTTTGCCAGAGGGGAAAGCGGAAGTGTTGCTGGGATTGAAGGTCCAAGGAGATATCAAGGAGTGTGGTCAAGGATACCGCTACCAGGCGATGGCGTGCTATGACCAGAACGGCAGGCTCGTGGGGACGTCCAGGTGCAACAGCCACGGTAGTGCAGTTTTTCCTCACTGTCACACATCTGTTCTCTTTGGGGTTGAAGCGCACATGTTTCAGAGTGGAGGGAAATGAAAGGTTACCGAAGTGAGTTCTACACGGAACATTGGGGCACCACCACGCTGTGTGCCTATCATTCACATATAACAGGACATTCAGTGGCACTTGTCTCGTTGTCCAGAAGTTGGCGACAAAGTCCCAAAGTTGGTGATAGGGAAGCCTTGCTGTGCAGTGCTTAGTCGTTCCATCGTGTCCAACTCTTTGTGACCATATGGACTGGAGCCTGCCAGGCTCCTCTGTCCATGAGATTCTCCAGGCAAGAATACTGAAGTGGGTTGCTGTGCCCTCCTCCAAGGGATCTTGCCAACCCAGGGATTGAACCCAGGTCTCCTGCACTGCAGGCAGATTATTTACTGACTGAACCACCAGGGAAACCTTACATGTACGCAGAATGGTGCCAGAGACCTCATCTGGGGCTGATGCAGGGTCTGCTGAGTAGGCTTGACAATCCCCAGCAAGTCTGTGTACAGACAGTGGGAGGAGTACAGAAGATGTGAGTATAATTTGAGAATAGTTTTGAACTAGACAGACTTTTAAGAACTGAACTGGCAAGATTCGTGATGTGCCTAAGGTACATTCAGTGGCAGAGGAGAAAGATTGAAAGCCATAATTCATGAAAACTCGAGCATCTTTTGTTTATTCATCATTAAGTTGAGACTGGCCCACACAAACAAAACCAGAAAAAGGTACATAGAGTTAGGAAACTTTTGTTTTCTAAAGAAACAAAAGGCATATCAAAAAACGAAGCTAAGATAAGTGTGTTGATGAGTTGCCGAAAGTTTGTAAAGAGTAGTTTTGACCAAAGTATGTAGTGAACTCTGGTTCTATGTCATAATATAGTCAGCTTTAAGCAATATTTCTTCATTCTTTTAATGTATCTGTCATTTTATTATGGAATGAGATCAGTTTCCTATGGGTCAGCCTGAATCACAAATGTCATTTGAGGATGTCACAGATGTCACAAAATATTTTTGTACCAATATTTGCCAACATTGGACAGTGATCTTCCTCCCTTCATGGAGGTGACCTGAGAAAGATGAACTAAACTACTAGGAGAGAGGTACATGGTAGTTGCCCGCCAACCTTGCTGAAATAACTTCTGCTATCAGAACAGAACTCCTCCAGTTTTATTATATATCTCAGAAGACAACATGAACTAATAGGATCATCTCACATGATACTTATGGAATCTCTTAAATCTGTTACCAAAATGAAGTTTCCAAAAACCCTGACTTGTTTTTTAACCTTATTTCATAATTACTGTTATATCAAAGTCTAGTGATAGGAGCCCCCATTATAAGACTCCATTATGTTGAAGCTCTGGATATAAGAATTTTGCAGGTTAGTATATGTGCATTTCTAAATTTAAGACTATTCTATGCATTTAGAACAATATTAAGTTTAGTATGCCTTGAAAAACTTCTGTAATTGCTTTTTTATTCTCTGTATCAAATAACATTTTTGTTGTTCGGTTGCTAAGTCAGTGTATCCAACGCGACCCCATCAACTGCAGCGCACCAGGCTCCTCTGTCCTGTACTATCTCCCAGACTTTGCTCAAGTCCACTGAGTCAGTGATGCTATCTAACCAGTTCATCCTGTGCCACCCCCTTCTCTTTTAGCCTTCAATCTTTTCAGTATCACAGTGTTTTCCAAAGAGTCAGTTCTTTGCATCACGTGGGCAAAGTATTGGATCTTCAGCATTAGTCCTTCCAGTGAATATTCAGGACTGATTTCCTTTAGGATTGACTGCTTTGATCTCCTTGTTGTTCAAGGGACTTGCAGGAGTCTTCTCCGGCACCAGTGTTCCAAAGCATCAATTCTTTGGCACTCAGCCTTCTTTATGGTTCAACTCTAATAGCTGTACATGACTATTGGAAAAACCATAGCTTTGACTATACAGATCTTTGTTGGCAAAGTGATGTTTCTGCTTTTGAATATGCTGTCTAGGTTTGTCATAGCTTTCCTTCCAAAGAGCATGCGTCTTTTCATATCATGGCTACAATCACTGTCTGCAGTGATTTTGGAGCCCAAGAAAATAAAATCTATCACCACTTCCACATTTTCCCCTTCTATTTGCCATGGAGTGATGGGACCAGATGCCATGATGTTAGTTTTTTGAATGTTGAGTTTCCAAACCAGCTTTTTCACTCTCCTCTCTTCACCCTCCTCAAGAGGCTCTTTAGTTCCTTTTCACTTTCTACCATTATAATGGTATCATCTGCACATCTGAGACTTGATATTTCTCCTGCAATCTTGATTCCAGCTTGTGCTTCATCCAGGCCGGCATTTCATGTGATGTATTCTCCATAGAAGGTAAATAGCATAGGTGCTACAAATAGCAGGAAAAATGTAAATGCACTTCCAATTCTGAGGTGATATGATGATAATGAGGAAGATCCATAGTTAGTCATTAAAATGTAAAATTGAAGATCACTTTAAAATTGTTTCTCCTGACTTGTAGCATGTAAGTGTTTGCTCACATTTTAAATTGTTACTCGTAGTGAATCAGCAAGATAATCATTTGTTTTTAATATAGCCTGTAAGCTTTCAGAATGACTCTCATCTGTTCTCTCTTTTACCCTGATTTGCTAATTAGATGCATGAGCACTTCAGTCAACCACTTAACAGTCAATCTTATTTTTAGACAAAAAAAGAAAAAAAACTTTAAAAATATCTTGTGACTCTCGTGAAAATGTTTCAGTTCAGTTCAATCGCTCAGTCGTGTCCGACTCTTTGAGACCCCATGGACTGCAGCACACCATGCTTCCCTGTCCATCACCAACTCCTGGAGCTTGTGCAAACTCATGTTCATGGAGTCGGTGATGCCATCCAACCAGCCCATCCTCTGTTGTCCCTTTCTCTTCCTGCCCTCAATCTTTCCCAGCATCAGGATCTTTTCCAGTGAGTCAGCTCTTCACATCAGGTGACCAAAGTATTGGAGTTTCAGCTTCAGCATCAGTCCTTCCAATGAATATTCAGGACTGATTTCCTTTAGGATTGACTGCTTTGACCTCCTTGCAGTTCAAGGGACCCTCAAGAGTCTTCTCGACAAAAATGTTTGATCCCTTGAAAAAAGTACAACTACAGAAAAAACTGAAATTGACCAAAATCAGTAGACTTCCTGCCTTAGCACTGTCAATTCAAAGTGTGAAGAATTCAGTACTGTATTTTAAAAGAAAAGCACATCTAGGAAAAAGGTGGGTCCCTGGAAGCACTGAACTTCATGGAAATTGTGAAAGGACCAAAGATAAAGTGAACTATTTGTGTCTATTCAGTATCTCTCCTTTCTCATTAAATCTGATCTATGATGCATATCCAGTGGGATATTTTACTGTTTACTAACAGTTTTACTCAAAGTCTGAGGAAATTGACTCTGTTGCCTGATTTCTTTGGAATTACTACTGATGTTCTGTCAATCCTGGTAGTGGAATGCTATCACTTTGGTACCCTATCCTAGGCGTTCTCTAAATTGCAGTTTCTATGACCCCTGCCTTTGCTCAGCCAAATCAGCTTTCCAGATGTATGGTGCAAATGGGGTTTTAAAGTGGCTTTCAAGAAAAGTCTCTTACAGCTTTCAGTTTAAACATAAAATTGATCCCCACGTGTGTGCAGTGCAAAGACAGTAATCCCCTGTCCTGTTCAATAGTAGCCTTATGGCATTTCTATTTAATCTGTGTTATCCATCTGTGGTTCATATTATCAGTTATTATACTGATAAAACAGTTTGACTGTCATCAGTTTAAGTATATTATTTTAGGTCATTTCCCGTGTGGTTACCATTTTTTTAAAAACATCTGTAACTCAAGGCACAATTCTGTTTAGAATTTCTCATAGTGATAGACTCTACTGAAAAGCAATACCAATACTCCAAAAATCAGATCTTAAAGTATACCTGGGAGCCAAATAAATGTTCACTCCTCCTGATACATGGTATTAAATATAGTTCCCACACAAATGTTAATATATGAATAGATTTTTGGCTATTATCTCTCCTAACCTCATAATACAAACTATGTATATTTACTTTTGCTACGAAATCTTGGACACTGTCACTATTGGCCACAGACTGTAAATCACTCAGAAACCAAATTACACATTTTCTCCTCACTGCTAGAATCCTCCAAGACCTTGATTATTGTTGTTGTTCATCGCTAACTCGTGTCCAACTCTTTGCCCCCATGAACTGCAGCCCGCCAGGCTTCCCTGTCCTTCACTATCTCCCAGAGTTTGCACAAACTCATGTCCATTGATTCACCGATGCCATCCAACCATTTCATTCTCTGTTGCCTTCTTCTCCTCCTGCCCTCAGTATTTCCTAGCCTCAGCGTCTGTTCCAAAGAACTTGATTGGTTTACTAGAAATTGATTGCCTATGCACATAGTACTAGGTACTTCTCCAGTTAATCACTCTTAAAATTTGCCAGAACAGGAGGTAGAATTTCCGGAATTATGATATCATTTAACCTTGATATTTTAAAGAATCATAGAGGTAACCTAGCTTACGCAAGGTATATGTATTCAAGATTTTTGTTGAAATGTGACAGATTTTATTATGTTGTCCCTCAACCCTACCCAGATTGCCCAAAACCCCTTTTTCTGCTCAACATTTTGTATTTCAAAAACATGTATCACTCCATAACATTCCATGTAGTTTATTTCTTATATTTTTATCTGTGTTGCATCTCCTGTACAAAAACATGGATTGATGAAGTTATCTTTGGCTACTCTATTCACTCACGTATCCCAAGCACTAGAACAGTAGGTGCTCAGTAAGTATTTGTAGAATGAGTGAATGAGTGAACAGTTGGAGAGAATTTTTGTAGCTGTCTTTGATCCACAATCAGGCTTGGACACTTTTTTCAAATAGTGTCCTTCCCTCTGTCACAGTTCTGGGATATAATCAAACGGATCACTGAGAACAACTGAGATCTTTGG